GATAACCCGCTCCACAGATTAGTTGTGCGGGGCAAAAAGTTATCATATTTCGGGCTATGGTGATGGTGATTGCGTTTAGAAAGGTCATATTCATAGTACATAAGGGTGCAAACCTAACTTCTAAATGGAAAAAGGTTTCGATTTCTTGTTATAATTGCCTTTTTGCTTTCAATACCTAGAAAAAAACTTATGTCAACTTATTTGACCTGTACGTTTATGTTACATTTCATCTCTGATCTCACTTGTGAATTGACATGGGTCACGCCAATAGATAAAGTATATTATTCAGTAAATTTTTACAAATATCAAAGCGTCGCATTTTTCCTTATTTGGCAAAGTTGAAAGTTAGAAAAAGATTCAGTTCAATCAGTCAGAACTAGCCGACAATTTTTGACAGTGAAATGTAAGAATTTGTTGACCCCATAACAAATACTTACGATAAGAGAGTATTATTTGTGTTACTCTCTAATAGTGAGTAAATACTTTTGTCCATCAGTTATCTGGCACGAGCACATGCACTATTAATACCACAACCACAGGCACGTGGGTAGCCTACCATGGACTTTTCGAATAACATCTCTGGTCAATTTGGCAACAACAGACCCATACTAATGTCATAAAGTAAACATTCTAAAATACTTCTCGTAATCGTAATCGGTTTTCCACTAGTATAATAAATACTCAACTGAAACAAGGTATCAATATGTCTCACCTATTTTTGAATGACATTTGTTATGTCGACATCTGTTGACATAAGTATACAAAATTAGAAATAAATTTCCGAGGCGATTTTGAAACTTTAAGTGGATTGTTTCTTTGGGTGTTTTATTTGCCTTTGAATCTTAGATTACTAACAAGCTGTGAACAGTGACATAAATATTTAAGAATAGAGAGGTCCCGTTCGACTTGTTTCGGACAACCACTAGCAATTGGAATAAATGTAATTGTGAAATGAAGCTATTGATAATAACTATCGTTCCTATGATTCTATACTGTTATTGTGATTCTACGTCTTTTAAGTTTTATTGTACAATCTTATTTTGAAAATTAATGGCTTTACTATTATTTTGATGTTTGTTTTTCTCAGCTCGAGGCTGGTTTTAACTGTATTTACGGGCCAAAACCAAGTACATACAGTGAGGTGTGTGGTTTGGTTATGTAGTAGTAGGTGGTTGCTGCGTGTGTTGTGCTGTTTCTTTTCTTCGATATCCATGAACTTTCTTAGCATGTGTTTAATATTGCTGCTTTCTGTAGATTATATACACAGAATCATCTAAATCTATTAACTTAAGGCTATGGTGAAGGTGTTTATTATTGTTTTACGTTTTTAATTTATTATTACACAAAACAGTTAAAGTTAGTATTGTACGCCTGCGAAATATGACTGCACAGTGTTCGGATGTTTAACTGACAAAAATCACTGTATTAAATGTTAATCACGTGACTATTGACCAGAGATCGCTGACTCGCCTGCTAATCACCGCGTTTATGGTACAAAATAAGGCAACTGTTCAATTCTCTGCTAAAGTTTGCCTGTTTTAAGGGTTCATGGTAGGCTAGCAGGTCTAAATGTAAAATAACCTTTAATAAATTTAAATAGCTAAGCCTTCATCTCTTAAAGTTCTATTGTGAGAGGTGTAATAAATTCTTTAAATATTTAGTGGGACCAACCTTAATTATGTATATCTTACACATTAAGTATTTGAAAAACATATGAGGTTATTCCTGGTCAGTCTTTGGATTTTTTCATTCGTGCTAGTGCTAGGTATTCACAGATCAGTCATCAACTTCCTTCTCAAGTTACACTCAAACGCGATTTCTTTATGTAAATTTCTTTTGTTTCATAGCTTTCCTTCTTATTCGTTTTGGTCTAAGAATTATTTTATTATTTGGCCACTTAAATTGGTTAAGTTTGGGAGAATCTAACGCTAGAACGTTGTAAATATTCAACGGAAACTTGTACTGCGGCGCAGCATAGGCAACGGAACCTGCCCATGCAATTAAATAATGAAACCCTACGCATTTGAAAAATGCAAACGAATTGAGATCCTTCTATTTATTCAGAAAAAGAAAAAAAAGGAATATTAAAATAATAAGGAGAATAAGAGTCTATATGCACCGATTAGTCTAACACTGCAAGAAGTTTTCTTATGCCTATTCTCGCTTATGATAGTCTTATGCTAAGCTGTATACATTCTCCTTGAATGAATAAAGAAACAATAAATCTGATTCTTAATCACTTTCTAGGAATTTAAGGAGGAGTGGACTCCTCCTCCTTTGAAATTGATGTCATAGACTAATTAGAGATCTGATCCGAACTATCATCCGTAAACATTCTTATATATCCATCCCATCCTTATATAGCTAATTCAAACCTTAAAAAAATCAAATCATAGAGAAAGAATATCTACCGACTTAAAAAAGGGAGTGCAAGGTTAGGGAGTGTAACATTGTTAAACTGCTTATTTTTTTGCGCATTCGCGATTCTTTTTGAAATTCGACTTTTAATAACAAAAATAAGGTAACATTGCAAATATTTTTTTCTTTAGAAGCATAGATTGTTACGAGTACATTCTTAAAGCTACTTTCACACAGCAGTAATTTCTAGAGACCAGGTGACGTGGTTTACGACATGCAGTCTTGGAGGAATGTTTAGTGCAAATTTTATTGAAGACATTCAGTTGCGCTAGTGATAAATATAATGTCAAATGATACAGACAGAATAACGAGTTTCTTCGAATATAGAAATAGATTTCACATCCAATAAACACACATTTACGAGTGGAAGCATATCGAGTCGAACTTATGCACGATAATATTGTAATCTGTATTGTAATTTATTAAAAAAAAAATTGTAATTAATTTCTTGTAGGTAGAAGTGGGGGATTTGTTGTTGCATTATTATATTTAAGTTTAAGCATAGCAAGCATGAGCATAAATTGTTGCATTATATTTAAGTAAAATTTGGGTACACACATACTCCTGGCTGCTGGGTCCTCGAGGCAAAAAGTCTTTCTTCTTTGAAAGTTTTCAATTTCAGCGAGGATCCCATTACCACTATTTGCACTGAAAATATACTCAAAAAAATACTATATACCTTATTATTCCCTAACTAAATGCTGATTGATTAGGGAAGAGCTGAATAAGACTGTTGCAATGTAGGTATTATTTATTATTCATATCGGATATTGAAGACTGTTTTGAATACCGAAAGTTGCCACAAATCGGCTTGGTTGGGTTTATACGTACAAAGAATAGACGAAGCTGGTAAAAAGACGAGCCACTTGTCATATTAATTTTTAACAGATAGTAATCATGTTATTTTATTTGACCAATATGGAAACAGAATAAAATGATACAACGATATTGAAATTTCTAATATTGCACGTACCTACATGCAATATTTGAAATTTCGAAATTTCATTTTCAAGACAAAATTAATTTTACAATAGTAATTTTTTTTTTTATAAAATAAAATATTAGTTTAATGTAGTCATTACGGCTAAACAGATTAGATTCATTATATAATATTTACTTAACAAACAAATTCGTTTCGCAATTTTGTAATATTATTATGATAATTTAAATCACATCGGCTAAATGTTGAAACATAATTATTTAGTCGGGCTTGAATATTGTATTTGTAAAGGGTCAGTATGTGTTTGTCGGGCCATCGAACGGGCTGTGTGCTAAATAGCCTAGACAACATGATCAGAATATCTTCTTGCTTTTGCTTAATATAAAATTGCAACTTTTCAGAATACAATTGGTCCGTAAATAAAATAGATTTGTCTGAATATAAATACTCTTTAAACCGCAAATAAATGTAGGAAATTTTGTTATTTTACCGTACTCGTAACATATGTTATAATAACTTATTGTTAAGTTTTGCTAATTTTCTAAACTATAACAACCCGTCTGGCCAGCGTGGTATAGTAGGCCAAAACCACTTTCTAAGAGGCCTATGTCCAGCAGTGGAGTATTAAAGGCTGTTGATGATAATGATAACTATTAGACAAAGTATTATCTGAAATATGGTAAGTGGGTGTAATATAATTTATGATTATTATATATCAAACTAGCTGAGACCCGCGGTGTTACCCGCGTTTGTTGTTATAACCGCGGGCAACGCCTCGGGGCGAAGCTAGTCTAAAAAAAGTTACTCCTTATGTCATCAGCTATCTGCCAGTGAAAGTCCCGTCGAAATCGGTCCAGCCGTTCCAGAGATTACCCGGAACAGACAGACAGACAAAAATTGTAAAAAAAATATATTTTGGCATATGTACCGTGTAAACATACATATGCATTTAGTAAAAAGCGGTTATTTTAATATTACAAACAGACACTCCAATTTTATTTATTTGTATAGATTGTTACATTGCATACCATAGATTATCATGGAAACTTGTGAACACTGTCAGTGATGCTTAAGTGCCAGAAACCGCCTTCTGTTGAAAGCGCCAAATCTTTGCGCCAACTAACTAATAAAAGAATACACGAAATAAACATATATCTTTTGACCACAATATCACGTTTACATCCATGTAAATAACATTTATTATAATATTAACCCTTATGTATTTTATATTGTAAACCAGTAAAACTCAACCAGTCCCAGTACAAAAACTAAAAATATTCATATAAACTTAAGAGAGCCCTTAGAACTCTTTAACCAACCTCCTTTTTTTCTGTAAGGAAATCTTCTCGGACACCACTGGTTATGTGGGACTTGAACCGACCAAAAACCACACGCCGCCTCGGGTACCAGCTGTACCCTAGAAAGGAAATCCCTGTTTCAAAATCTCATAAATATTAGGAACTGATTGAATTTTGAGTATCCTTTCCCTTTCATATAATAAGATTGGACTCGAGGCAATTAAGAACCATTATTGCTTTGTGCCGACTTTAAGTATATTTAATCTTTGGCCTTCTCACTATAGATATAAAGCAATGCTCGTAAACAACAAAGTGTAATTACCAAGTGAACAGCAAACAGCAGAATGTTTACGTGCAAGTGGATATTTAGCATAGTTGTATTTGGTACAGTAGCGCCGTTCAGGACGGATATGCGCCCAAACGTAACAACCTGCGAGCAATTCGAACGTGCAGCTCGTTTCAGTCCATATTCAGTTCTTGATGCTATATGGAAAATAATATATTTCTGGTCCAACAATACGGAACTGTACCCTGTTGCATTCTCCTTAGCGGTTAAAAAGGTATGTTCCTTTTGAATATCTTTGTATTTTCTTTGTTTTGAGTCTTTGTAAAAAATTGTTAAGTCACAAAATTTACATTATCTAGTCCACAAAAGCTGCCTTTTCTGGTGAAGACCGTTGCATTACTACTCTATTAGATTTTATCAACTTAATTCTAAAGTAAGTTAAGAGTAGTATCCCTCAGTATGCTATAATTTTCTTAGAGGCGTTTACGTGATCATTATACATAGGTAGCTAAAGTATAACAGGGTATTATAATTTCAAAGAACATTTTAAGCTAAACGAAATTTGACACTACTGTACTGTATCAAATTGATCGCTATCTAAAACTTCAGTGCTCAGTCAAACTTGTTAATCTAATCGTTTAGAGTTCGAATTGTTTCTAAAGCTTCATACTTTGATAATACCGCTCAATGTAACATCACAATAAGTAGAAATATTACACGTGCGGTGCATAATCATTTGTAACAAATTGGCTAGCCTCCAAGTTGCTACAAATAATTACGCCACTAATTATTTCAAGCCCCGGGTTGTATTGGTTGCTGATATTGTTTAGAGTTTAGGAAAATAATATTGATTTGTAAAGATAATCTGAAATTTTACTTCGTGTCGTCGTGTAGAAAAGAATGTTTTATTAGTAGCCAGTAATATAACGTTATCCCAAGCTATTTATATAATAACCTGGTTATTTTCTCGTAGATTACAACTGTTCGTCGCACTTGTATAAGGTGTTTTTTTAGAGGAGGAGAACTTTAAATTTAAATAAATAACAGAAAAATGTTTATCATCATTAACAGCCTATAACAGCCCACTGCTGAACATAGGCCTCTCCTTAGAAAGGAGGTTTTTGCCTACTATACCACGCTGGCCAAACGGGTTGGTATAGGGTTTGTTTCAAGTTTTCCTCCTCTTTGCAGTGCTGTTGTCCTGCGCAGTTTACTTCCTTGGTCGGCTCATACGACACCCACGGGATGAATAGGGATAGTGACACTGTATTCTTAATCCGTCACCACACGGACAACTTTACATATCCCCAGAGAAAATAATCCATTTCGTGATATTAATCTTCCGTCAAACGTTTCTTTCAATAAATTAATGGTATCGAGCGCTATGTGGCATGTGGCACCGTCATGCTGAAACCACATGTCTGCCACATGAATGCCATCAAATTTATCCGCAAAAAAGTTTGTAACCATGTCTCTGTACCGCTCACCATTGACTGTAACGTTTTGGCCATCATCATTTTTAAAGACATAAGGACCAAAGAATAGCCAAAGAATTTAACCGAAAGTGTGTTTCATCACTAAATAAATATTTCAAATGAAATTGTGGATCAACAGCAATGTTTCCTTCAGCCTATTCATTGAATGTACGGCGCAAAACGATGATCGCGTGGATTCAATTCCTGCACAAGTTGAATCTTGTAAGCACGTAATCCGAAATCTTTTCGCAAATTTTTCCAAATAATGGATGGACACAAGTTTAATTGTTGAGCCCGATGACTAATCGACACATTTGGATCATCATCAACACTGCGCTGCACACTATCAATCGCTAGTTGTGTGCGCACTGTACGACGACTTTCGGGATGCGTATTATCGTTTAGAGTAAACGTATTGCGAAAACGATCCATACTTTCGCAAATCAATCGCTCTGATGGACGATTATAAACACCATAAAATGCACGTAATGCTCGATGCGTTTCTCCGTACCTATACTATACAAGGTTTTTAAAATAAATTTGAGCCATGTTGAATTGCTAAACCAAACTAACCTCAAATTACCGTAGAACTGTCAAATCGGCGGTCATAGAAAACAGTGTTGCCAATTTAAAGTTCTCCGACTCTAAAAAAAACACCAGTACACCGTACACAAACGTTATAATCGTAGTAACGCAGTAAAACTCTACAATAAACTCTCTATCATGGTTTAGAGAAAAAATATGAAATCTTTGTTGCTTTTAAATTATCTGACAGCATTGTGATATTTTTTATTAAATTAATACTTTTTTATTTTTCAGAGAGTACAAAGCATAAAAGAAGATTTTCAAGCAGTAAATCCGAAAGTCCACGTGGAATGGGAGAAATCAACTTTGATCATGGACCCCCGGCCCGGTGTTGAAGTGTTGTTTTTGTACGCTGGTATGCCAGGCGCTTTTCGAGCACTCGTCAGAAAACGGCGTTTCGGTGAAGGTGGGCGACATTTTTACCTCCCCTCTACACCGCTCGCTCCTCTCGCGCCATTTCCGCCCCTAACTTTTCCCGCTCGACTTGACTCATAATGATAATAAACAGGTCGCATTTCAAACATTTTTCTTATACTTTTCATGTTTTTTTAATGGGCTTTACTATTAACGTGGAATCGCTGACTACTACAAGACTGACTTTGACTGTTAAAAAAATGGTATTTCTTTTGAAAATCTATATTGACTTTTGTATCAGTGTTTTTAAAACCCTCCAATATTATGTATGTTTTTGATATCAACGTGACATAATGTGTTTTTGTTCGATATAATATTATGTAATATTTAATACGTATTTAAATGATAATTGATGAGTAAGTGGTAGTTATAGGGTAATCATTAAAATGCTTGCTAATTTTTGTACCTCTTTCAGTATCATAATGTATTATTTTTAAATTAAAATAAAACTACGTTTCAGGTCATATATATATATATAATTAAAATAAAACTTCTTAGTAGGTCTCTTAATTCTGAATTCCATTAAAATAAAACTCACTGTGCGTGCATTTCTTATATTTAGTCGTTAGTTGCTAGCTGCCTTTTTTGTAAATAGCAGAATTTATAAATAAATATCAGAAGAGCCATGATTCGGCAAAAATTGGTCGGCTCGACCGGAGCGACACGGCTTTGCAGAAAAACAGTGTGAATCTATTTTGTTATTGCTTTTACACTTGAAATAAGGTTACCGGGGCCCAAACCCAGCCTTCCCCTGAGTCTAGGGGGAGGACTTAAAAAGTGGCAACGCACTTATGACTCTTGTGTTGCAGTTTTCCATGAGCGGCGGTAGTCGTTTACCATCAGGTGACTCGTCTTCTCGTTTACCCTCCCATATCATAAAAGAAAGTAGTATAAAAGATACGAATTGACTCACTCAATGTAAGATATTATAAATATTGCTGACTATACCTAAAAGGAGAGCGTACTCCTTCTTCAAAGGCCGGCAACGCGCTTGTGACTCCTGTGTTGCCGGCGTTCATTGTCGGAAGTACTAATCCTTTTTATACCTAATATAACCAGAGGTTAAAGAACACGCAGGACAATTTATAATAATTTTGGTTACAGCACGCCCGCTACCGGAGCCATGGTTCACGTTTGCTGATGTGAGAATGAAGATGGTAGAGCGAGTGTTAGGCATGATGTGCTGTGAGGATCTAACAGCCTTTGCCCTCGTCAGGATGGGTGAGATACCTACGACAGAGGAAGGTTGTGTTACAGCTGCGTCTAAATTAGGATATTCAGCGCCTGACGGGCGCTCCTATTTATATTTTGAACGAAAAAGGAAAGAAGACGAAGATAATGCAGACCTGTGAATGCAAATTTATGCATTAATATGACCTTAATGAATTTAAATCACAATTTTAGTTTAAGTTTGCAAATCGAAGTCTAACAAATATTTTTTTAAATATTATTTGTTCGAAGATTGCAATAAAATAGACGGGCTTGTTGATCTAGTGGTTAGTGACCCTGACTGCTAAGCCGGACGTCATGGGTTCGATTCCCAACGAAGACAAATAATGGTTTGATGGATACGATCAATTGTTCTGTATCTGGGTGTTATGTATCTATAATATGCATGTATTTAGAAATATTTAAGTATGTTTATCAACGGCCTGGTTACCATAATACAGGCTCTGCATAGTTTGGGATCAGGCGGCCGTGTGAGTGTATGTAATTATTTATTTAAGTAAATAGATACGCGAGAGATACGAGATACGCGAGTAAGTGTTTTTTTTAAATGTGATCATTAATCACTTCATCAAAATTTATGGTTTAAGGTACCTCTGGTAAAAATGCACAATCCTAAAGTCCCACTAATTATATAATTGATTCAGAAAATACTTAACAATTTGTTCAGTGCTTTGTTCTTATAAACCGTTCCAGATTTGTAAATGCTTATATTTTAAGCTTTTCTATTTTAGTGTTTGAACGTGCAAATCGGGCATACTAATACAACATGAAATATTGGTGTAACTAAGCGGTATAGCTGGCCAAAATATAAAAATATCGTTGAACTAACTGTTGAAAATGCAAATAAAATCCATAAATTTCGAATGTTGAATTAATTTTATGAACTAAAATCCTTTAGTGCCAGAGTTAATTTTTAGGCTACAAAGCTTTAAGCTCATTAATATTAAAGTAGCAACCCGTGTGATATAAAGCTACTGAATTTTTAGCATGAAATTTTCTATTAAATTGTTAAAATGGTTGATAAGCATTTATATCATTTTATTATATCCTTTCAGAAAATTAAATGGATTTGATAAAATAAAATAAATTAGTTTTATTACTTGATTGTGGTTCAACACACCATCCCTACATAAATATACTTGAAGATCACCTGCACATTTCGATTTCGGGCGAGAGCGATTTTAATAATATTTACCACTAACAAACTCACGAGTTTACTGTTTTAAAACTTTGAACTGATTACGATTCCTATTCTTGGACTACAATCGTTCCTTATTTAATTATAATCCACCAATCTACAATATAATACAGGCTAGTTTACATTAAACTTTAACGTGAAGATGTATGTATGTAACGGAAACTTATTGAATTAAAAACGTTGAATTAAATTGAAACATTGCACACTTACTGATCGAGGACCGATGATAATGCAACAATTTAAATAGTTTTTCCCATTATCCTGATCAGGGCCTTCAGGATTAACGACTTTTTGCATACCATGTGGGGAAGCATATAAACTTAGTTTTGTTACTTTTTTAGTCTTAATAAGATAATTGGTGCTTTTCAAGGTGTTTTATAATAAAATAACTTTTACCAATAACTGTTAGTAAAATATTTTACAACAATTGAGATCTAACACCCCACATATTTTACAAAAATTGAGAGTGATAGAAGAGAATGGAAGAATAAAACTCGAGCGAGCACTCTAAGTAAATTTTGGGAAAAGGGTAAGATGATGATAGTGGGGGCAGAAATCTGAATAGAAGAGTGGCGACAAATCGAATTTTAAAGAAACGGTTCCTCCAACACGAAATAAAATATGTAACATATTTTATCATCAAGAGTTAAGAGTGTGTTTCATTGGAGATTGCATTGTTTTCTTTTGTAATTGAAATTATAGCTTTCACACACATTTTACATTTAATTAGTCACTCTGGTGATAGCATAAATGTACATACTATTGAATATAATATAACATTTTGAATGCCGCGGCTGAACGAGCATCTATCTATGGTATTCTATGATCAAAGCGCTCAGTAATTAATAACACACGTAGTCACAGTAACCCACTAACTTGTTTTGGTATTCATTTACTGTAATCGCCTCAATGTTTAAATCGTCTTGATATACCTTAACGCCCATTAGAAATTTATAATTACGATTGCAATCATTAATAAAAATAGAACATTTAATTCAATGTTTCATTTGCAATTCGCAAATGTGATTGAATAAACCGTTTCAAATTACGCATTTTTAAACCAATTGTACAAACTAGTTCGTACCCGCGACTTCAGCTGCGTAGAATAAAAAGTTCGTAGTCTTTTTTTATTTTAGCTTTTATCAATCTTTATATTAAATAAGTCATCAACGTCTACAAGGCTTATTATTACAACAAAAGGGTAGCCTATATCCTTTTTCAAGTTCTTGTTTATTATATACAATTAAAATTCATGCTTTGAAAATCTGTTCAACCACCTTCAAGGCTTCTTACAATGACAAAAAGTATCCAATAAATTCAAATCATTCAAGTTTCATTTGAACTAGTTTCATTGTTTCGACGTACTGTGTGTGGAACAAAGAAACAGGCATTCCGACAGACAGATTGACAAATACCGCGTGTTATCGCGTTTTATTATTATTATACATATATGTTATCGCGGTAAAAGTGTCCTTTATCTAGAATCAAACTATTTTTATACCAAATTACATCTAAATCGGTTCAGCGGCTTAAGAGTGTTTATTAGTATGGATGTACACAATTTGTCTTGATACATTTTTATTATACTTATGAATTAGTAGCTTATTTGATTTTCCCGGGCCCTGGAGGAATATATATCTGTGCATTCCTCTGTAGATATTTGTGTGAGAATAACAACATATTTTATTTGTGGTAACCGTAAGGTACTGCGTGTTGGTAATTGATTTATTGGTAGATCGGGACTGCGAGATGTCCCGTATCCCACATTACTCACTAAAAACATCATAGAAGTATAATGGGCTCGCCAACCGGAACTATGAATGTATACGAATAAACATGAAATATAAATATTGTGATATATATTACAATGATATTGAAGGTTTTTATTTTCTAAAACGGAAAGTACTTATGTTTGTGGACATGGTTTTAACTAATTTAAAGGCAAGTTTTACTTAAGTTAGATGGTCGTAGGAGGCACATTCACAATAGCTTTATGTAGAGCAATGATAGTTATCTTGAAAATTAGATTTACAATATTGTGTTACGTGCCATCGTTAAACTAAAATAAATTATCGAGTTACAGTTAAATTGCGCGTTTTTGTTATTACTTACTAAATTACATATAATGTGTTATTTCTTTACTACTTTCGAGGCTCTAAAAGTGGCACTGTAGTGTCCCTATAAGCAATAAATAAAAAAAACTAGCTTAGAGTGTGTCAGGCGTCCTGAAACCTAGAGCTTCATAGTTTATTACACCTAGTTTTAAAGTAATGTTTTCATTTACGTAATAAATATTTAGAAAATTTCTAAATTGGTGGATATGTCCTTCGTAATGCATTATATGTATAATATATATACTACCATCGTGATTTCTTTTCACATCTTCTAAGCGCTGATTTTCACTTGACTCTGACTAAAATTAGCATTTATTCATTTTAATCAATTGATTGTTTAAATCACTTCATAGCCCTTCAATATTTTAAAAGACCTGTTTAATTACAATCCTTACCAAGAGAAAAGGGATCCCTTAATTTATTTTTAAGATTTAATTTGAAAACTTTTTTGGCGTTTTTAATAAAATAAACTAACAGTCTCTAAGCTAAGTCATGAATGGATGCACGAGCAGACATACTGCAAATAGAACAACAAATATACATTTGATAAACAAAAATATGTTCTGTATAAAGACGAGCTTAACCCAAGCCTGAGTTTTCTTTCAGTAAAACTTGAGAATGAATAGAGGATAGTAAAGAACGTTAAAGGCTAAGTCATAGTATATGTACGTGGAAATAGGTAAAAACACCCATAAATACCTAAGTAAATTAAATATGATGTACATATGTATTGAAAACTAGATATAATTATAATCAATTCAATTTTGTTCATCAAGTTTTAGAGATTGCTTGTAATGAACAGACCACTGGCCATCCAATTTTGTTTTTGTATAAACACAAAGAAACTTATGATGTAGAATAGACAATTACAACAGCTTAAAAATATCCTTTATGTTAACTAATAATTCACGTTTCTAGATCATCCAAATCATTATTATTAAGTTCAATATACCCACGCGTATTTATATAAGCCCCGAACTAACAACGTAGAAAATAATAGGTAGGTATCGGAACGGCGATCTGCATTCAATAAGAGCGTCGTTGGCGAGTGCCTCGGGCTCCCCGTACCCGGAGAACAAATTTATTTTTCTTCCAAGCATACTAGACGTCAACAAATAAGGTTATTTTTCAACATGGATGGCTATATCTAATATAGTCGGACAAACCGACCGTAAACGAAACGTTGGTAAAGTGAGATATACTATTGTGAAATATTAACATCTAAATACAATAAATCCCTAGTTCTTATATGCTCCACATGTTTCTAAAATCAAATGGATTTTAGCAAATTGCTTAAATGTAAATTGATAATTGTATTGTTGTTGATAATGGTTTTGATCGCTAAAACCCCCTTTTTAAAATAAACAAAATTATTTACTTACCTTTGTATCATCAATATCATCAACACCCTTTATAACTCCACTGCTGGACAAAGGTATCTCCTTAGAAAAGAGGTTTTGACCTACTATACCACGCTGGTCAACCCTTTATACAACAATTTGTAAAATAATGGTAAGACAAGTGAAGTAAAAGCATATAATATCAAATAAACAAATATTATACTCGTATCTACATAATATAATGGTGATACAATATTCAAGAAGAGCAAATACATCAAGTCAATTAAATCACGTTCGGTACAACCTTCAATTTTGCTTTGAAAGAATATTTCAGATATGACCACAGATGATACGATTAATAAAGTAGTAATATTTTATCTTCAAGCATGAACTGCCGTAAATCTGTTAGAATTGGAAAAATGTTTAACAATTATTCGTAAATTATGCACTACATTATGGCGCCATCCTAT